CAAACCGCAGCAAAACCAGAGAAAAAACAAGACTTTTGGCCAATGGCTGGTTCCATGTCTGGTTTCATCATTGGTGGCACCCCAAATTGTCATTTATGCTTCAAACAACTTGCGCTGAAGTCTGGTATCTTTATGTATTTATCTAATATTTGGAGCCAGCTGCCTACTAGGCTCAAGAAGACCATTCCCAAAAACCAAGGGTCCCGAGGACCAAAACGGTCTTGCAAGTCTAAGACCAAAATACGTTGCTGTTATTGCAAATGCCGCCGCCAGATTGATGTTAAAAATGTTGGCAGGGACCGGCAGCTACCCAAAGGAAAAGCAAATTTGGACCAGTGTCGGGCAGTGAGAAAGCAATGCAAAACGTTTAGATTTTGCTCCCGGGAGCATTTATTGTCATGCAAAGCCGCTGAGTCTTTGGGACGTGGAGGGCGGGCTCCTTTGACCCAAAACCAATGCATTGTCCTCATTCAAACGCTGATGGCCCGGTGCCCCTGGGCAGCAATGCTCTCATTATTGCAGCTCTTTATAGTGGACCGTGCTGATTGCGCTCGGCGATGTTGCTGGAGTTGGCTGTCTGGCATGCAGCCAGATTCCAAAAGCCCACCAACCATCACCATCCCCAAAGTCAACGGGAAGACCATGCCACGGACCATTCCCATCTATCAACCTTTTGCAGCGTTTTTGTGGAAGACCAGTCATGGCCACCCCCTCCAATCTCTCACTGGTGAGAGATGGCCAGCTGCTGGTCAAGATGTGGAGCTAGAACACACACCATTGTTTCCGGGGTACGCCAAAAATTGCAAAACCCGTGATTGGGCCAAGCCCATCAGTGAAAGAGCCTTCTTAGAACGCTTACATCAGGCAGCCGACATCCTGCAAGCACAAAGAGCAGTGGCAAAAGCCCAGGGGGTTCATCATGAATTCCAAGGGTTTGACCTACGCCTTCTTGGCACCCACTCATTCAAGAAGACATCAGTGTCATTAATGTCCGAGCATCAAACCAGTTGGGCCATAATATCAGCCATTTCAGGAACGTCAGTACAAATGCTTCAACGGTGCTATGATGTACCAACCCGGGCACGGCAACATCAAGCCATGGAGAAGGTGTTTGACCCAGGAGTTTGGGGTGATGTTTTGAGCCCTTCAGAGGCCGGTGTGGAACCGCAAGGGGCTGAGCAGGCCAAGTATTGTGGACAGTGTGGCCGTGCTCGTCAACATCAAGATGATGTCTTCTGTGTTTGGTGTGGCTACAAGCTGTCATAGTATTCCATTTGCTTGGCCAACTGAGCTGGCGACCTGGCAAAGTAGCCTTAGAAGGTTGGCAGTTTCACACTGCATGATGCTGAAGAAAAAAGAGTGGTGGTCAGCGCCATGACCACTATGCCATCACCAAAACCATTCCAGTGTCTGCGCTCATTGCAGTTTCACACTTTTTTCCACCATGGCATGGGGACGGTTTGCAGGAGTTTCATCGATGGAAGCCTTTCACAACCAGCGCAGCTCCAGATTGAAGGTTCGTGCACGCCCACTGCCCCAATGTTTGCTTTGGTGTATTGAGATGGATGGCTTTCCAAGTGTTGGCCATTCTGGGATGATTTTGGATGACCTGCATTCCACAATACACAAAACACGAACCTGAGTTGAATGAGGTGCAGCACGGAAAGGCTATGTGGCTTCCTGCTGACTGCCGGGCCCTTGGAAGCTCAGTCATTGGGTGACATTCATGGAAGGGATTTCTTTACCATTGAATTTTTGTATCATTACCAACTAAAGGTATTTCACCTCCAACGGGCCTTGGGCAAAGCTGATCCTAACTTCTCATGGCTCACAATTTGACAGCACTTTGTGGAGGGATCACCATTGCATTCTGGATCACGACTTGTGGCCGGATTGGCATGAGTCCAGCCGGCTGCCAACCCACCGAGAAGATCACCTTACAAAAGGTTTTGTTCCAACTGTCAGCTGGAAACAAAGCAGCGCAATCCGACTGCTTGGCCTTGTCATCCTTCTGGTCTGGCAGCACTTTGACGGCATCTGGCACAAATGAAATGTCCAATTTGCGGTCCAGCTTCCAGGCCCCAGGATTTTCCGCCGTCGGCTGGTCGGACAAGTCATGGTAACAGACTTTGCACGCTGGTTTTTTTCAATCGTTCTGTGTTGACCACTTCCTCCAGTGGCCGCAAAGAAGACTGGAACAACACTTGGGGCAACCCAGACATGTCGTAGAGGATTTCACGGTCGGAAGCTGGGCTTTGCTGCTTGTACTCACCTTTTCCGAAGCCGGACAGGATAAAGCCTGGGGTGAGTTTCTGTTCGATGTTCCCCCGGTTGAGGAGCCAGATCTCTTTGGTGCTTCCAGCCAGCACTTGAAGCACCATGGATGAGTTGTTGCGCACATTGCTCAAGGTGACTTCCAACAAGCAAGGTGATGTGGGCATCTCTTCAATCTTCACTGGCGCCACTTCCGACTTGATGATGCCAGCCCGCTTCTTTGGCCGTGGGTTTTTATCAGTGCCACCTGCTGTGCGTTTCTTCTCCTCTTTCTCCATGGGCTCAGGACCAAACTCTTCGATCACTTGGTTCATCATCTCTTGAAATCGGCTGCCAAATTCCAAGTGTGTGCCCCACTCCTGCGTGGATTGAATTGAACTTGAGGCTTTTTGATTTCTAATCAAAAAACTAATGACCTATACCTCAAACGGTTGAACACATTCTTAAATCAATTGCCTTTACCCAACCAATTGGCCGGCCTTGACCAATGCGTCTGGGAATTTTGGATAAAGTTGGTCTGGCCCAGCCCCAACCAGCACATGAAGCTTGGGTGGTTTAGGGCGGGCAGTCACTTGATCTGCCGGCACATCCAATGCAACTGGCTGGTAGCCTGGAATCACCAATGAACCATCCAGGTGTGATGATGCCATCTCTTCCTTCTTCACCTTGTTGAACCACTCTTGGGTAACAGCATCATCAGTCAGGCCAAAGTATCCAGTGGGCATGGTCCAGGAGCTTCGCTTTTGCAGCCAAGCATTGAAGCTGTCACCGACTCCCACATGCAAGTCACAAATGATCAAGCCGGCCTTCCCATCCAATTGGGCACCTTCCACACAAGCATCCAGCAACTTGACATAGGCCGATGTTCCCAATTGCTCATACTTTCGGGCACCACAGACAGGATCTGCAGATCCAGGCAGTGCTTCTGGGTCTGGGTCCTCAATCCGCTGCATGTTGCTGGCTGCCAACTGCTCAGCAGCAGCAGTTCGCCCGTCTCGGATGAGATGGCAACCTTTGAAGATCCAATCTTTTTCCTCCACCCCACAGCCACACACTGCACGTCCAGGGTATGTAAGTGGACGATTGTCTCGGCTATCCTTCCGAGTCTCAAAAGCCAAGACCCATGTCTTGTCAAAGTTGAGGGATGCATTGTTCAATGATTGCAACACCGCAATCTCATGCAAGTACAGTTGGCCTTTTTTGTAGGTGAACTGTGGCAAAATGACTGCTCCCAATCGCTTGGATGAGTTGTTGCACAAAACACCCAGCACCTGTGACTGACAAGCCTGTGCAGCATCCTTCACCCTCGGAAGCGCCGCCCAGTTCACCAAGAAGATTGCAGCCTGCATGTTGTTCCCAGCAAACACACTGGACCAAGCATACTCAAAAACTACAAACCAAAAAGGTAAGCACATCGAAGCTGGGTGGCCATGTTTTCTTTTGGCAAGCCATAGTTCTTGCTGAAGTCCAACTCAAAGCGGTCATACAAACACACCACATCGCTCGGCTTGGTGGAGCAAACCAATTTGACATTGGCCTCGAAGAAGGAGTGCACAGCGGATTCACTCACTTCAAAGGCATGCTTCCGATGGGTGAGCTGCTGGTGGTAAAGCGCCCCTTCATAGGTCTCCATTCGGTGGCGGGCCACTCTCAGGCACTGGAGATCATATTCAACCCGATTTTCCAGCAGCTTGAAACTGTCGGCCTCGAGATTGATCATGGCCACAGTGGCTGCGTCCTTGCTAGATTTCTTCAATGGCCGGTTGTTGGCATGGCGATCCATCCTGGGGTTGGTTGATCTCAAAACCCACACCGCCAATTTCACCAAGGTCTGGTCATGTTGCAAGTTAGTTGGCACACATAAGGTGTTGAAAAGGCACCAAAACATCAAATTAAGAAGTATCTATCAAATATAAAAAATAATTGCTCCAAGGTTCAAGTCTGCCAGCTGCTTGATCCCCCGTGGTGTCAACTTATCATCTTTCCGTGCCATGGAACTTTGGACCTCCAACAAAACACCCAGCTCACCTTGCACAAAAGGCTGCAACCAGGCCTCTGCAATCTCCTCATCGGTGATGGGCAATTCTCGTTGGGCACTTTCTGCCACACCACAAACAAAAGCAGCTTGCTCTGCCAATTTCTCAAGGTCTGCCCTGGCAAATTTCTTTCGCTTGTCTTCATCGGTCTTCAAGAACTGGCCAATGGCATGCTGGATCATGATCACACATGAAGCCGCTGTGACCTTGGACCATTCCGGCCAAGAGCCGCCAACATTTGGCCGGAACTTCCACCCTGGCACCGTCTTCTTGGAAGACAACCCATCATCATGGAAACAACAGCCAGCCCAGCCCAGCTGTTGCACATGCTCGCGGATCAATGCCAAAGCCTGGTCTGGGAACACATCAAGCAAGTTTTTCACCGCTGCAGCTTTTTGTCCCAAAAGTTGGTTCTCTTTGGGGACAGTGGCATTGAACCGTTTGATCACAGCTTGGCTGTCATCTTCGCCATGGGCACGAAGGGTCTGTAGGGTTTGAACCCAGACCATGATCGTGGGCCCTTTGCGGAGTTCACCTCGGATAGATGTGACAAAGTTGTGGATGACCTCAGCCACTTTGCTGGTCCCTTGCACCACATGGCAATGCACGCTGCGAAGGGACTGGGCCAATGTTGAGTGTGCCACATCCAAATTGATCTTGTTGTCCAAGCAAATGGCCAATAGCATCAGCAAGGTGTGCATCCTGGCTTTGCCCTTCACAAACCCAACGCTGTGGGGAAGCAACTCTCCGCCAACTTCTTGCCAAGGCTTTTTCAAGCCAAGTTGCTGGGCCATTTGGTACAGCTCTGCAGGACAAGTAACCAATAAAGGTTCGGTAGAAGTGATGAAACCATGTTTCAATATCAGCTGGGACAGTTTCAACACCAAGGCATGGTCTGCATCCGGCTTCAAAGATGAGGTTGGGTCATATGAGAAAGCCCCCAAAGGTAAAGCAATGGGCTGTGATTTGGTCAAAGACTGCTCTTCCAAAGAAGTAGCTGGCAAAGGGTGGAGCAAGCAGTGATCATATAGGCCTTCTGCGCAAAGATCATGCAAATAGGCTAGAAAAGAAGTTGCATCGTCTGGGTTGGCAAAGCGGGCCTTCAAAAAAGCTGCGCAAGAACCATATTTGACCAGCAACTTGGCCATGGCTGCCATGATGCTCTCGGTCAGCTTTTCCAAGCCTTCATCCCCAACATCTGGAACCACTGCATCTGCCCAGGCTGTGTCTGCAGCGGACTGGGCATCGGTGTCTGCCGGTTCATATTTGGTGGTGCTTCGATCATCAGCATGGCTCTGTGGTTCCTGCATTTCGGACTTGGCATCCAAAGCAGCCATGTTCGGGTCCGTGCGGAAGTCCATGGATGCTCTCACAGTATGATAAGCACTCTCACAGTGCGCAATCCAAGCTGTCTCTAAACCAAAAACCTTGCGGCAAAAACACTCTCTCAGTGCCCAACCCAAAAATCCAGCCATGGAAAGAAACACTCTCACAATGTGCTGGTTTTGAAAGTGTGGCTGTCACCAGTGAGAACTGAGATTGAAACATCATCTTGGAGCTCCAGCCTGGCACACCATGGGTGGAACACCAACTCCCACTCAAGCTGAACCACAGAAACAAAATTCAATGGAACCAAGTCTGGCAACCCAACTGGACACCATCCTTTTTCCACCTACTTCTGAGCGGCTTTCCCTTTGGTCATAATGCTGGCTGGTTAAAGAAGCATTCGTTGATGATGGCACAGGTGAGCTTCAAGATCTGCCAAGCACACATAGCACCCGTTCATGAAAGGAACGTGTTTGCCCGCAGTGTTCTTCATGCAAGCCTGGAGCCAGCGCACTGCTTCCACCAAGACCAAATGCTTGTCCTGGGCAAACTCTGAACCATCCATTCCAGGAAGCTCCGACATCTTCTCTTGCATGGTTTTTTGTGGCACGGTCTCATCATACCAAAGATATTTCCGCCATTCCAATTCACCTGGCAATGCATGTTCTGGAAACTCAGACCCAAGCACCACCAAAGTGAGCAAGCAAATGGTTTGAGCAAAAGCTTTGGCTGGCTTTCGGAACTCAACATACATGGGCTGGAAGAATTCCAGAATGCTGATAACGTTCTTCACATCCGTCTCCACATCTGGTTTCCACGACTGGATCGCCACCAGCATCTCAGAAACATCTTTCGGGCTGAACTCACCACACTGGCCCGGATTTAATGGTGGGGCCATCATCATCATACTGGCCGGCAGCTGGAACTACTGGTTTGGGCCAAACAGTTACGATTGCTTTTCCATGCCCAAAAACAGCAACCAGTGGCTATGGCTGAGGACCAACACCTGGCACACGACTTACTAACATTCCAGCATCATGGCCCAGCACCAAAAGGATTTGTGCGCCTGCCAGCCAGTCCACCATGGGCCACATGGGGCCTGGAAACTGGATGGACTATCAGCCAATTTGGGAACCAATGATTTAAGTTCACCAAAATCCATTGGATTTTTGGTGGTCCAAAATCCGTCGGATTTTGGGATACCAAAAATCCGTCGGATTTTTGGCTACAAAAAATCCGACGGATTTTTGGGCATCATTTTTTAAAAAGTATTTTTATTTTTCACTTTTTTAATTTTTATTTCTAAAATAAATATTTTTTAAAAAAAGCCTCAGATCTAGGGTGCATGATTTATGTTCCAAAGATCTGATGGAAAAAATTTTTTCCATCAGATCTCCAGGGTGGGGATCAAATCCATCAGATCCATGGTGCATAATTTTTGGTGGCCAGATCTGATGGATTTGATCCCCACCCTGGAGATCTGATGGAAAAAAATTTTTCCATCAGATCTCTGGAACATAAATCATGC